AACAACGATTGATTTTACCTCTCTCCCTGACAAAACCTGATTCAGACACTGACTCTGTTCCAGCAGCTCTGTATGATCCGTGCATCACTCCCCTCCTCCCCAGCAAGCCCCAGGCAGCTGTTCCCATCCTCACCCCAGCGCTGGCAGTTTTGGCTCTAAACCACACCGGGGGTGGCCTCTGCTCCCAAACCCTCACTCCACTGACAGATCTGAGTTCCCAAACCTGGATAAACTATCTCAGCACTAACCCTGAGCCCTCACACAAGCCACATTATGGGCTTCCCATTCCCCAGTTTTTGGAGTCTCTATTCTCCACAAAGCATAGACAACACCCAACCCACCCAGGCCACCCTCCACCCACCCTCATCCACCTCCACAGGGGAGAAAGGTAGAACAAAGGCAGAACAATCCCCCCAAAACAAAATGACACCAAGAAAGAACTAGAACAAAGAATTGTTTAATCGCTTAACCCTTTCTCTTCCAGGGACCAGAGAAACAAGTTTTCTGCTCCTTCTAATGAGGGCAGTAAGGCTCGTGTGTTACCTCTACAACTGCAGGGGCAAAGTTTACGAGATGATCATCTTTAGTACTCGAAAAAGCGAGAAGCAATGGTCACTGCAACACTAAGAGAATCCTAGAGTCTCCTAACGGAGAGCCCATTGCTAGAATACAAAAATAAAGGAGGCATCCCTGCATATCCCAGGCTAGAAAGAGTTAACCAGAAAGAGCAGGAAGAAGCTTTCCCAAAGAGGGGGTTGAAGTAAACAGCAGAGGTCAATAAAGCAACATCTTCTCCCAACTTCCCCAGCATGTGTTTTTCCTTCACCAATAAATACAAATTCCTCATTAACAAGCGACAAGCAGGTAATCTGCCCACGACAAGGGGAAAAGGGGCTGGAGGCAGAGATTCTTCTCTCCCCTTCTCTCCTATTATTATTTGTCTTTTTGTCTTTTTTTTTTTTAAACCAAAGCAGCCATTAAAAACAGCAACCCACTGCAGAGGCAGGGAATCTGGTTGCTTTCACACTGCAACTGGCAGGTAAAAGAGCTGCACTGTCTCACAAGGGTAAAAACAACAAAAAATAGCTGCCACAGCAAAAGGTGAATGGGGAGGGAGAGGTCTGTTCTCTTCAGAGCTTTCCATCTCAGTCTCTCAGTTTAAAAATCAAAGTCTGCAGATGTTGTCTACTGAAAGCTGGGAAAAAAAAAAGTTTGAGTGGGAGGAGAAGAGGGGAAAAAAAAAAAAGAGGATGGATCTAGTAGGAAAGCCTTAAGAAAAAAAAAAAAAAAAGGCCAGACCATGTCAGAGAGCCACCCAAGTGAGAGGAATTTTCTGCTGCCTCTGGGTTTTGAAGAGCAGTGAGTGCTGGGGCACACCTGGGCTGGGGGAGTCTGTACACTACCAAACAGGCAAACTGAGCAGGTACTGCGTGAAAACAAGCAAACCTGCCCTCAGGAGCTGAGTGACAACCTGGCTCAGGCGAGCTCTGCCTCAGGGGGAGAAGGTGGAGGGCGAGTTTGCCATCACAGCTCAGCAGAGCACACAGGGAGCTGATCCTTTCGAGGGGCTCCCACTAAACTGGGGTGTGCTGGGGCTCAGCTTCACCTCCACGTGACAGAGCAGGTGACATCTCTGCTGGGCAGGGATTAGGCCCCAGTTATCTTTCTCTGCAGGGAACAGTGTCCTTGGAGAGATTCCATGACCTCTCTCCCTCCTCACCTCCCAGACTGTTCTGGAAGGGAGAGGCAGCCTGTTCCCTGGCTCAGCTAGCACTGCGCAGTCTCTCCTCAACGCCTGGCAGCCAGGAGCAGCCAGAGAGGGAAAGGGAGGCCTCTCATCTTTCCACAGCAGCAACAGGAAGACCAGGGATTGCACCACATGGAAGAACAGCACATACACATGCGCACACACTCCTAGACACACACCTCACACCCCTGGGACCAAGGCTAGCATGTTCA